GAAACCCGGAGGCCCTTCAATGGTGGAGTGTTCAAGACATCAAATTGAATAATCAGAGGACCATCCAGAGACTTGTACCCACACCGCATTTGATACTCAATGTAACCCAGAATTTTGAATTTCTAAATATATATTCAATTTTCTTTGTTCACAGGCGCTATTAACTCTTTGTTGAGAAAGTAGTTATGAACAGATACTGTATTGTAATAGTATATATATATATATATATATATATATATATATATATATATATATATATATATATATATATTGTAATAGACATAATAATATTTCAAAAAAAGAAATTAAATATTTCTAATCTTCTCACCAAAAAAAAAAAAAACAATATTTCTAATAGACCAGCTAATCAAAATTGATTTTTTAATTTTGCCTTATATTATCTAATTGTAGTCAATTAAGTTATTTTTGGGCACATACTATTATACCATCAAGATTAATTCACGAGTTAATGTTTTGCCATCGTCCTATCTATCCAATTCGCTACACAATATTTTCTTAATATGATTTATCTTTTATATGTGATTTGTACGTAAAATATTAAATAGGAGCAAAGTTTACCATGAATATATTGTAATAATTGTAAATTCCTATCAGTTCTTTTTTTTTTTTTTTTTTTTTTTTTTTTTTTTTTTTTAATAACAAACATATACGTAGTAACTAACCCATGCGCAGTTTGCTTAATAAGACTATGCAATTCATATGCCAAATGTTTTCTTTATTTTATACATCTATAAATATATGAAATCATCAGAATACTCAAAATATTAGAGAAGCTAAGCATTTAATGAATGTACATTGCATGTAGTGTTGTGTTGTGTTCATATATAGGACCCTACCTAATATTTCAATTAATTTCATTATACCTCATCAAGATAAGAATTGAATATTTTGGATTAATCAAAGAGTCCCAGAATACAGCAGAATAAATAGAATACAAGAATCACAGGTAGACAAGTAAGTTGTAACTTGTCTCTAAGAAAGGAAAAGGGATCCAAGAAGAGCTTTAGTAATTATATCTACAAGTTGATCAATTGTAGAAATAAAGTTAACTTATATATCACCAACAGTTGTCACTAATAAAATGATAATATAATCAATCTCCACATATTTGGTGCGAGCATGAAATATGGAATTTGTACACATATACATAGCACCAAGATGATCACACCACAACTTAGGCACATGAATATTAGCAACACCAATCTTATGTAACAAAGAGAGAATCCAAATTCCCTCAACACAGACATCCGCTAGAGCTTTATATTCAGCGTCAGTAGAAGATCTAGCCATAGTCATTTGTTTCTTACAAACCCAATCTTGATGAGGTATATTTCATTACTTGTGTCTTGAGTTTGTAAGAAATAAAGGACTGTGGCTAAAAATCAGCTCTCAATATTGATGCGGTATAATGAAATTAATTGAAATATTAGGTAGGGTCCTATATATGAACACAACACAACATTACATGCAATGTACATTCATTAAATGCATAGCTTCTCTAATATTTTGAGTATTATGATGATTTCCTATATTTATAGAGATGTAAAGTAGAGAAAACATTTGACATATGAATTGTATAGTTTGATTGAGCAAACATTGGATGGGTTAGGCACTACGTATGTGTGTTATTTTTTAAAAATCTGATAGAAATTTGCAATTATTACAATATAGTATTATTGTGTAAATTTTACTCCTATTTAATATTCTACAAATTACATATAAAAGATAAATCATATTAAGAAGATCTTGTGTGACGAGTTTAATCAAGGCAAAACTTAAACTCGTGAATTAATCTTGATGGTATAATAGCATGTGCCCAAAAATGACTTAATTAACTACAATTATTCAAAGTTACGAAAATCTTGAACAAAAGAGATAGTATTAAGGCAAAATTAAAAAAATCAATTTTGATTGGCCGGCCGATTAGAAATATTGTTGTTGTTGTTGTTATTTTTTTTTTTTTTTTTTGGGTGAGATGATTACACATATTATTGAATTATTTATTTATTTATTTTCTAAATTATATTATTGATGATGATCTGAGTTTTCAAATCTTAAGAGTCTTATATTATAAATAAATATTAACTTATCAATTTCTTTTTTTTTTTTTCCTAACACACCAATTTCTTATATATTGTAGTTATATATATATATATATATATATATATATATATATATATATATATATATATATATATTTCCAATATTTAGAATATGCATTAAGTATAGATTTATATTATATTGTAGAGATTTTTTTTATAAAGGAAACAAGCCATGTGCTAAGGCAACATAGTTGCATCATATCAATAATGTCTAACGAGGAGGTAATCCTATTAAACGACAGAGATCAGGTAAAAATAAATATCCTTCCCATTAAATTAATTGTTATCCTTTATTATTTTCCTCTGCAGAAAATAAATTTTCTCCAATAAGCCAAGAAAACTTTAGGCACAAAGTACTTCGTCATATGATTAGGAAGACGTCAATAGACCACCATTTACAGAAATTTAGTTCATCCTTCCACAAAATAATTCTTTTTTTTTTCCACTTCTATATTACATAAATTTTTTTTTTTCAACTTAACTTTAATTTTTTCCTTTTCTATTTCGACAAACAAAATTAATGTATAAACATATATCATTAAAAATTTTTAATTGAGATCTTTTAAATAACACACATATTAATATTTTTTTAAAATTTTTTATTTACTAATAAATCCATATGTGCATAAAGTTATTACTTTAGACTTTAGTACAATGTTTATATATATTGAACTTTTTTTTTTTTTTTTATGAACATTATGAGCTTAATATAAATTGACTGAAAATATATATGATATACACGCATGCCGGGCGGGTTTAGGTTTAAAAGCATATAAAACAAATATTCTGATAATACTATATAATAATTGTTATTAAATATGATGCACATGTAATATAATTTATGAAATATTACATATTTGGCGTTCAGCCTTTTGGAAGAATGAAATATTACACACAGGGACGGAGCCAGGAATTTTGTTGAGGGGGGGCGAAATAAGGACCGATTCACAAATTTTTTTCAGTAAAGGCGAAACATTAAAATAAAAGAGATATTTAAAAATAAATAAATAAATTACCTAAGAAATATAGGTGTAAATATTATTGGGTATGGGCGAAAAATAAAACAAATCGAAACTTTATAAAAATATTCATAACAAAATATGAAACATAATTAATTTGATAAAATAATTTGAATATATATATATATATATATATATATATATATATATATATATATATATATATATATGTGTGTGTGTGTGTGTGTGTGTGTGTGTGTGTGTGTGTGTGTGTGTGTGTGTGTGTGTGTGTGTGTGTGTGTGTGTGTGTGTGTGTGTATCAAATATTAAAAAAACTATTAAAACGTGATTGTATTAGAGTCATAGGGAAGGAGCCAAAAAAGTATATGATTCAAACGCCTAACCTTTATTATAACCAAATGCATGCTCTACCAACTAATTTAACTCATTTCTTATGAACAATTAACAGTTTTTATATACTAATACTAAAAATATACTATATACACATATATATACATAAAAAAATTATATATGAGGTAGGGATAGGGGTAGGGGTGGGGGTGGGGTGAGGGGGGCAGCTGACCCCCCTGCCCCCCCTTTGGCTCCGTCTATGATTACACATTGTTTTTATGAATATATAGGAGGAATATAATATTATTAACTTCTAAAAACATAATATGTGCCAATACAAGTTATGTCTTTGATTTTTGTCCATTTTTTATATGCTAATAAAAATATACATTTTGTTTTAATTGTTGTACATTTCATTTGTATTGGACAAAATTACCCTTACACCGTTATAACACCGTTAATGTTTAATATGTCCACCAATCTTACCATACACCTACATCTATCATATCTTTTTCCTATTTTTAATTATCATTTTATTAAAATTATCTTATAACAATTAAATTAATTATAAATTATATTTTAATTAAATATTTATATGAATGTTAAATTATATATGTGTATATATGTGGGTGTTAACTTAGTATTATTTGTAAATTATTATTATATATAAAAATATATATATATATATATATATTTTTTGTTTTGATCACTATATTATTCAAATATATGATAATTCAAAAGTATCATCACTTGAAAATTGGAATACATAATTTTAACTAATTTTTTAAATTTATTCACCAATTTTGTTGCCACTTTAAGGAATATCATAATTTTGGGCATAAGTTTTCGCGCATTGCGCGTACAAACTGCTAGTACTACTATACAAAACGAATGTGAATAGTTGTGATGTACTTGTAGTTTAGTTTTTATGTACATTAAGATCTAGAATTATGATCATATAGGACAATTATTACGAATTGAACATAGTATGCACAAGATAAATCTTATTAAACATGGTTTGCCTATAATGTAGTATATATATATATATATATATATATATATATATATATATACATATTAATAAACTTTGTTTTTTTTTGACCATTTTGAACTTAATATATATATTAAGCGAATGAAAATACATATGATCTACATCCAGTTTAGTTTTTTTTTTTTTTTTTGAAAAAACAAAAGGATATATTATTAGATCAAATGTTGAATACAAAAAGGAATAGAGGAAATCCAAATAGAAGAATCAGATTGTGAACGAGCCGCCCTGGCCAAAGCATGGGCTAGCTTATTCTCTGATCTTGGAATAAAATTGAAGGACACTACTTCAAAGTGTCGTTGAAGAAGTCTGCTTTCTCTAAGAATTCGGCCTGCATATGAGTAATCAATTCCGGGCTTATTCAAAAGGTGACAAACCATCTGACAATCAGAAAATACTCGTATTTTGGAGTAACCAAGATCCTTTACCCAAGATAAGGCTTCTTTCACTGCCATAGACTCAGCAAGATGGACATCATCCAAGCAATTAATCTTCCCATTCTTTGCTGCCAAAAAATCATTAGTACTACTCATTAGCACACAGCCAAAGTAACCATGATCCACATTCGGGAACAAAGCAGCATCAACAAAAACATTTACCACATCTGCTTGCACAGTCATATTGATGCCATGCGAAAACCCAGTGCTCCCACCTTCCACCGAATCAGCGTCTCCCATTTGCAACCATTCAGCGGCTACACGTTGATATTCCAACCATATCTGATCGGTCTGCCAAGGTTTATTATTCCAAACCAGATTATTACGAGCTTGCCACAAACACCAACACAAGGCAGTAATAGAGCAAACTTTCTGCACATTACCATCTCTAAGATAAGCAGATAACCATACAACAAAAGTCATATCATCATTAGGGAGATTGCAATCTGCAATATTCTGCCAAAGTGATACAGTATGAATGCATTGGCAAAACAAATGCTTAAGTGTTTCTGGTTGCAAATTGCAAAGAGGACACATGGTATCAAGATCCACTCGACGGTTATGGAGGGCAACTCTAGTTGGAATAATGCAGTGAACACATCTCCAAATAAAGTTCAAAGCTTTGGGAGGTAGCTTAAGTTTCCAGATGTCACACCAAACAGGTTCAATATTTTCATGCACAGTGGATAACAAACGGTATCCCAACCTTACTGAATACATACCCCGAAGATCCCCACGGCAACACCAATTATCCTCAAACTGGTTAGCGATTGGAATCTTAAGTATAAGATCAACATCACGAGGAATGAAAATATGATCCAACAAAGTAACATTCCAACTATTTGAACCCGGAATCATTAAATCACTAACCTTCAGTGTTGGATCGTGCTGTTGGATGGGAGAATGCACAAACGGATCATTTGCATCAGGCAGCCACGGTTGATCCCAAACCCGAGTCGAAATACCATTACCTATCCTCCGGAAACAACCTTTCCGTAGGACCTCCTGACCGGCCAAGATAGATCGCCAACAAAAGCTCGGATTTGCACCAATAGTGGTAGTCAAGAAATCACCATTCGGGAAGTATCTTGCTTTGAGAAGGCGTGCAGCTAGCGAAGACGGATTCGTCAACAATCTCCATCCCTGCTTTGCTAACAAAGCAATATTAAAATTTCTCAAGCTTTTGAACCCCAAACCACCCTCTTTTTTAGGAATACACATTCTGCTCCACGATAGCCATCTAATCCCTCCACCTTGGCCACCTGAATCCCACAAAAACTTATTCATCATACGCTCAATGCGTTCACAAAAAGTAATGGGTAAAATATAGACACTCATGGTATAGGTTGGAAGGGCTTGAGCGACACTTTTCAATAATACTTCCTTCCCGGCCCTAGATAAAACCTTTTTGTTCCAGCCACTAAGTCTCTGCTTTAGCTTCTCTTCTATATAGGAAAACACCTCCTTTTTATTCCGGCCTACCCCCATTGGTAGGCCAAGATATTTCCCGATATCTCCCGCTTGATTAACAGAGAGCACTGCTGCCACCTGTGTCCTTACTGTCTCATTAGTGTTCCTGCTAAAGACAACACAAGATTTATCAAAGTTGACATGTTGGCCAGACATGCGTTCATAATTGAGTAGACAATGCTTAACCGTCCCTGCTTCCTCAACCTTTGCTTTGAAAAACAATAAGCTATCGTCTGCGAAGAAGAGATGTGAGACCCCAGGTGCCCTACGAGCAACTACACAAGGTGAGATGAGGTTTCTGTTCACTGCTCCAGAAATCAAATGGGAGAGTCCTTCAGCACATAAGATAAATAAGTAAGGCGATAACGGGTCTCCTTGTCTCAACCCGCAACTTGGAACGATAAAATCAGTTAACACTCCATTCATCGCCACCTTATATCGGACAGTAGAGACGCATCTCATAATCAACTTGATCCAGTGTGCATGAAAGCCTAAACGACTCAGAATATACTCCAAAAACTCCCATTCCATTTTGTCGTAAGCCTTCGCCATGTCGAGCTTTAAGGCACACCATCCATCTTTTCCCTCTCTTTTTCGGTTTAGGTAGTGAATTACCTCCGAAGCAACTATTACATTATCGGTTATTAAACGATCAAGCAAGAAAGCACTCTGAGTTACCGATACTATGCGTTGCAGAATTGGTTTCAACCTGTTAGCAATCATTTTTGATAATATTTTGTAGGTAACGTTGCAGAGAGCAATTGGCCGGAGTTCTCCCATGTTGATTGGACTCTTCTTTTTCGGGATAAGGGTAATATAAGCATCATTGAATCCCAACGAAAAACTATCACTCATGGCACAATCAATAACAAACTCAGCCACGTCTTGTCCAATCTCATTCCAGAAAAACTGATAGAACGCTGGACTGTACCCATCTGGACCGGGAGATTTATCTGGGGCCATCGAAAATAATGCATCCTTAACTTCTTCAATGGTGAAATGCCGCATAAGGTTATGATTATCCTCATCAGAAACTTTCATCGCCAAATCATCTAAAGCAGCGTCAAACTGTACCCCTTTTGTAGTGAAGATGTTCTGATAGTATCTTGCAGCCAAATTCAATAAACCATCTTCCTCGACCCACTGATTATTTTCATCAAGGAGTTTTGCAATTCTGTTTTTACGCTTTCTTGCAGAAGCATAAAGATGAAAAAATCTTGTGTTTCTATCCCCATGCCTAAGCCAATGTTGTTTGGCCCTTTGACGCCAAAACACATTTAGTTGATCAAATAAAGCACGCATGCGTTCATCCAACTCACGAAATAAGGATAAACTTTGAGTATCACGTCTGTCACGCAAACCTACTAAACGATGTTGAATGTATTGAATTTCTGTTTGCAATCGTTTAGCGTAATTACCGCCCCATCTCCGAAGTACTTCGCCACAATGATTTAATCTACTCGGGATTGCATCACCCATGGTTGCGTACCAAGAGTTAAGCACTACGTCTTTGCAACCTATTTCCTTTAACCATGCATTTTCAAACAAAAAGCGGCGTTGCTGACGAGATATTCGAGGCCCCTCAAGCTCAATATAAATAGCCGTGTGATCTGAAGTGATAACCTCATGATTATACACTGTGGCTTGGGGAAACAGTGTACACCATTCTGCTACCGCAACCGCTCTATCCAACCTCTCCTCAACCCAGTCCGATGTTCCTTTCCATCGCTCCCACGTGAATCTCCTACCACGCATACCAATATCAAATAGGCTGCAATCTTCCAAGGCTTGCGTGAAACCTTCCAAAAGAGAATTGGGGTGTGGGTGAATACCCCGCTTCTCAGATTGAGAAGTTAAGTCATTGAAATCCCCTGCCACCAACCAAGGAAGATCGGACTTTGTTTTGAGAGACCGTAGCAAATCCCATGACTGTTGTCGGCGGTTTCGTTCGGGGTAACCATAAAAACACGTTAATCTCCAGGGTTCGCTACCAGGTAGCCTAACCTCAACATCAATGTGGTTACTCGAGAAACTAATAAGATTTGCAATACCTGTCACGCCATAACAAGGCCAACCCACCTCCAATGCCTCCTTCATCTACATAAAATAACCCTTCATAATTTAATTTAACGCGCAAACGTTCTGCATGATCTCTTCGAACCTTGGTCTCCATAAGGAAAATAAACATAGGCTTGACCTTAGCTTCTAAGGCCACGATTTCCTGAACTGTACGTGGGTTGCCTAAACCACGACAGTTCCAACATAGCGAACTCATTGGGCCGGGCGGGACTGGGCTGCACCAGCTCCCGCCAATGGCAAGTTTTTTGAATGTACCTGCTCAAAATCCATAGGCACAATTGGACCAGACTTATTTTCCTCCTCAGACTCAGTACGCCTTCTTTTAGGATCCATTATGGTAATAGAATCATCATAATTATCCATGCACACATTTTGCGTTGAATTATTTTGAATATCCAATATTTCCTTACTTGGCACAACATTACCATGCAGAGGCTCAGTAATACTGATAGCAAGCGAATCATCAGGAGTAATTATCGGATTCTTTCCTTTTTCATTCTCAGTCTCCGATCTACCCGGCGGTACCCACTGCCTCCGTTCTTGTGTGGTTTCCGGCGCGATCCAACGTAACCCATCTGCCGGAATATTCCTCCGCCCACCTGCTCTCAAATCAGGACCATAGGGTTTCACCACTGGACTATCTTTATGACAAAATTTATCACCATGACCAAGAAGGCCACAGATGAAGCAGAACGTAGGGAGGCGTTCGTAGCGAAAGTCCACCTTTGCCCACTCCCCGTTATCCTTTTTCAACCACATACCTTTCTTAAGAGGCTTAGCAACTTCAATCTCAACCCTTACTCGAAAAAACAGCCTCATAGAGCCATCAAAGTTGCGATCATCCAACTTTGTAACTCTGCCGATGTAGCCACCGACAGCAGATAGAACAGCTTCTGATCGCAAGCCATTTGGGAGACCATGTACTTGAATCCAAAATTCAGCCCTATCCAAAACCACCGTTTCTGGGTCCTCAGCAACAGATATTCTTTTGAGGATCAGCAAGCTTTGCTCATAGGCCCAAGGACCATCCTCCAAGATGCGAGAGATATCCTTCTCACGATAAAACCGGAACAAAAACTTTCGCGGCTGAAGCTCCTTGATATTCATACCGAAAGAAGGCCGCCAAACATTGGTCATTGTGTCACGGAAAAACATGAACTTGATAGCCTTATCTGTCAGGATTCGGCCAACCATATAGTGCTCCTCTTCTTCCTGAACAGGTTGTAACGCAACATTCCCAACATACATCCAGTTTAGTTAGTATTTATGTACATCAAATTATTCCCATCAAATTAAATGCAGGTTACTTTGTTGAAAATTTTATGTTAGCTGCTTCCTTTAACTTATGATACGTTAAAGTGATATATACACTCATGGCATGTTTGGTTCATGGAATAGGTCAGGAATGGAATAACATTCCTTGGAATAGACCTATTCCATCGTTTGGTTGGATCATTTTGCCATGGGAATAGCATGCTTAGGAATGAGCTATTACCTTCGCAAGGGGAATAGCCATTCCTAGGGGGGCCTTGGTATTAGCTATTCCCATGCCCTTGGGAATAGCTTTTATATCACAAATACCAAAAATACCCTTTGCACATTATATAATATTTATATATATTTAATAAATATAGTGTATTATATAAATGTATATATTTAATTAATTATAATTTTTATCCATCAATCTATCAAAATATATATATATATATATATATATATATATATATATATATATATATATATATATATATATATATATTTAAATAAATTGTATACACACACACACACATTTTGTAGCATTTGCAATTGACATTTTGAGAAAAAAAAAAGTAATTTCTCAAAACTCCGGCCGTGACAGTTTATATATATATATATATATATATATATATATATATATATATATATATATGTATGTAAATAAAAAAATAATTGTATAAGATTCCTTAATTATGGAGTCTTGGCTCCTAAATTAAGTAGTCTGCTCATCTGCATGCCTAGCGGATGGGCATTGCAAGCTTGCCTAGCGGATGAGCATTGCAAGCTTGCCATGGAGCCTTGAGACTCCTTTTATAGGAGCCTCAAGGCTCCATTCCTTACTTCTCCAACCGATGTGGGATAAGTGAGAAAATAAATGTAAAAATATATATGTATTTGTATAATAATAATAATAATAATAATAATAATAATAATAATAATAATAATAATAATAATAATTATTATTATTATTATTATTATTATTATTGTTATTATTATTATTGTTATTGTTATTCTCTCTCGCACACACACACATACTATACATATACATGTATATAAATACAAATATATATATATATATATATATATATATATATATATATATATATATATATATATATATATATATATATATATATATATGTTGGAAAAATAGCATTAAAATGATATTTTGAGTGATTATTTTGTGGTACAAATATATGTGGGATCCACTTCCGATTTGGGTTGGGTCAATGTGGATTCGGGTTCTTCGTAATGAGACGAAGAATTTGATATAATGTACGCTCAAAATGGGTAATAGGTGAATGAGAAATTAATTCTCAAAGTGAATCTATTTGAGAGACGTTTAAAACATAAGTTTAGATGCTAATTAAAAATTAGCATTTTAACAACTTTCGTTGCCTGCACGAAAGTTTGTGTTAAAAGCTTAAGTGTGATTAAGCTTTGGAAAGTTTAATCTGAATATGGGACAAATGTGCATGGATAAGCTTAATTAAGCTTAAGAATTGTAAGCTTTAATTAGAAAGCTTAATTTGGGTTTGAAAGCATAAATTCATGTTTTTAGCACAAGTTTCGTGGCTCAATGATGCATGTACGAAACTTGAAAGCTTAATTTTAAGCTTTCGTTTTGGTGCCTTGATTTTTAATAATCTTTGGCTTAAGTTCGTGCTTCTTTCGTGCTGTGGATTCGGTGAGCACGAGTCAGTGCTATAAGCATTGATTCGTGCTGCACCGTTTCAGTGCTTGCAGACCACTCGGGTGTGGTTTCCAGTCCCAATTTGTTAAACTTTCGGGTTTGTATGGACTTCTCGGTCACTCAGATATTTTTGAAACGGGTCGTTATGGTCGGTACGAATTAATCGGATATTAAGTTTGTGACCGTTGATATTATTTCGATAATAAGTACGACCGTTTCAAACGTTATAATTCAATTATTTAATTGAATTTATGTTGGTTAATGTGTCATGATGATGCTATTTAGTACCAATCTCCTATATAAACATGTTGTGGGAGCAACCTTTTTGAAAGAGTGATAGTGAGAAAGTGAAAAACAACACAAGAACACACACAAAGAAATTCTACTTTTCTTCTCAAAATTCTGCTCTTACTCCATTCTTGAAACTGTGTTTTGCCCATGCTCTTGTTCGCCGGGTTCGTTCGTTCGGGTGCTCAAACGTCGAACCGTTGTACGTTTTATCTTGGGAAGCCTAGGCCACAACGCTCCTAGCACTCTTGGGAGGTGGCAAATAAGGTTTTAAGGAAAAAGGCACTTCGCCGAACTCGTACTAATCTTTCTTCCTCTCATTCTTTCTTGTTTTGGATTATGCTCTAAACGAAAATCCTTTATCTTGTTGGATTGGAATTATAATCTGAGGATTATAAGTTCCAATTTTTTTTGGTTGATATATATTGGTATATCTTTTTCGTAGATATATACGTATATATAACCTTCGGGTCCGTTTTATATATATTTGTGTGTATATATATATTTCAGATATATATCCAATAATATTATATATATATATATATATATATATATATATATATATATATATATATATATTTATTTATTTATTTATGTGTGTATATATAAATATTATTTTTGGGATATTAAATCGATTTTGGTTCATTTTCACCAACAATCTTAAAACCTTATAATTTGATAATGAACAAATCGATGGATTCTAAAAGTGTTGGATCCGTGAATGTTGCTCGTGGTGCACATTCTAATGGTAGGAACGGCAACGATGTTGCACATTCTGAGATGCCAATTGATGGCAGCAACGTTGGAAATGATGTTTCAATGGGAGTTGCTAAATCACACGATGGTGCTCCGGAGAACTTTGGTTCACGATCCGGTAGACAAGTGGTTGATGGCACACAATTGGTACCTATTATGATGGCTAATGGATCGGCTAAAAGCCATGAAGGATCCAGTGTTTATGTGACCACTACATGGTCTGAGGACTATTGTAGTGTGACTAATGACTTCAATCGTAATCAAAGGAAAGGCAAGCGGAAGCTTAGCTTTCAAGAAGATTATGAGAAGAAGGATAAATTCCACTATGAAGCGAACCGTCTTCTTGGTGAAAAGGTTGAGGATAATTTCGTTATGTTTAAAACATGTGGATGGTTGGACGAGTGATGCCACAACCGAGGTACCCCCGATATGCGCTATGGACCACCCTTCGTGGAGTAGACGATTGGAAAAAGGAACAAGGCACACGGGTTTGAAGGATTACTACGAGATAGGAATAAAGAAATTTGTTTCCAATGTAATTTTCCTATTTATTTATTTTGAATAAATGTTGTAGTATCCTTATGATACATTTTATTATTGAATAAAATGAATTGTTCCATTTGTGTGTATTGAACATTTTATATTTTAAAATATTCTTGTGTGATATTTTTAATATATAAAAGATTCAATAAGGATGCTTTGAGCATCACATAGCATTATGTGGAAAATGCTAAAATGGCTTAACGGCCGTAACAAAATGTAACAAGCGTGTTACATGTTTGAAATCCTGTAAAAGGACTTCGGTTCTGGTTCATGTAGAACGATAAGGATTTCAAGAATCAATTTGTCAAAAATTGGGATAGTTATATAATCGTGAGCGTCACAGCTCAATTGTTGAATATTTTAAATAATATTCAAAGTACGATTATATAAGCTTGATTCAACTAGTCAAAAAAATTTGGTTGATTTGTTCTTGTTAATTGGGTTATAATTAACTTGATCAAAATCCAAATTATACTAGTATGAAATATAATTTGTGACATAATGATTTGTTGGATAGTGCTTTCGGAGCACTGACGGAAAATTTGAAAGGATCAATTAGCTTATAGTGCTAATGATAGCACTTAATGCCAAGCTTGGTAATTAATCAAGCACCAAATGGTGCTGATTAAGTAAAGCACTTTCGTGCTTTGAAAATTTAAAGCACTTTCGTGCTTTGTAAAATTAAAGCACTTTCGTGCTTTGTGGTTTCGTGTAGCACTTCCGTGCTACGTTACCAAGCATGGTTCGTGCTTCAATTTGTGAAGCACGAACTGATGGTGCTTTGTGGCGCCTAATCCTTGGCACGAGTTGGTACTTTTTTAAGCATTGATTCGTGCTTTATTTCCGGTACTTCGGTCAATCCGAATGGATTCGTAAGGGCTAATCTGTTAGCACCTACGAGATGTGCTAACGCGTAGCACATGTTTATTCTTTATAAGAATAAAAAGGATAACCAAATTAATTGTGAATTAACGCAGTTACGAGTGATCGATGTGGTGAACATGAAACACCTATTGGGATTTCTGCGCAAGCGTTGGTATCGTACTCGAGCGTACGACACGGTATTCACCTCAGTCGAACGTTGTTGCCGAACATAAATATCAAGACGTTGATAAGTTCGGGTCTACCTCAAGGTATGTGGGGTGAGACAATAATTTGGACAAGAAAGTACGTTTTAAATAAGGTTACCTGTGACACCCCGTAATCCAAATTCAATTATGGGATTAATTAAGTAATTAATCCTAAACTAATTGGTATTTTAATTCCTAAAAATCCTGAAAATTCAATAGTCGGGGACTAGTAATTGACTAGTCAACCCCAAAGTCAAAGTTGTACCATGAGCTTTGAGAGGAGTTCCCTTGTCCCCTTACACCTCTTCATTTTAGTAAGGGTATTCATGACCTTTCACCTTGTGTTAGTAATGCAAGCTAACCTAGTAGACAATTCTCATTTCTCTCCTTACACTTTCCAAACTTTGGCTCTACCTTCTCTCTAAGAAGGTAGATAGCTTTTCTTCCAAGCCAAGTTGAAGCTTTGTCAAATCTTCAAGAGTTGTCTCCAAGATTCTACCTTTCATACATTTGGACATCTAGGAGGGTAAATCTATGTTCATCTTGTGTTTTTAGTGTTTTCTTAGGTGTCTTTTCTTAAAGATAGAATCTTTATGATCTTTTGGTGTGTTCTTGAAGTGGGTTTGGAAGGTGAGCCTTAT